CCGTGACTCTAGGGACTGTACAGGTGTGCAGGCCTCTGTGAGCTGGCCTGGGTGTAGCCCTCTAGAGGATGTTATTCCAATGGACAAGTATACTGCAAGGGTAGAGTCATCCGGACATGTGCTTCTGGGGACTTCAGGCCACTGTAAAATTGGGGACTTCCTGTTTTGTGTTTGCTTAAAGATAAATATGCTTGAGAAAAAAGTCTTGCCTGGCTGGTATGGCTAAGTGGTTGAGCATCAATCTATGGACTAGGAGGTCACGGTTCAATTCCCTATCAGGGCATATGCCCAGGTTGTAGGCTCAATCCTCCTGTGGGGAGTGCAGGAGGCAGCCAATCAATAATTCTCTCATCATTGATGCTTCGATTTCTTTCTTTCTCCCTTCCTCTCTGAAATCAATAAAAACATATTTAAAAAGAAAAAAGTGTTGGCTGAGTGGAATTTACCATGCAGTGATACGAACACTTCACATGCTTAACACTGACCAGGGACTCAGGAACTGGCCCTGCCCACTCCAGTCATCCCCCCGCACGGGTAATTCCCCCAAGTTCCAGCTGCACACAAGCCCGTCCTTGCCGAGCGTGGGGAAGCCTGAGACCCACTATTTCTCCTATGGCCCTCGGCCGTTCAAGGTCAGAAAGGGGCAGCTGCCAGATGGCAAAGCTGAGGAAAGAGCTAACAGACGTGAGGCTATGGAGCGCACGGCACAGACCCACCTTGTTCATATGCAGCTGCTGCTGCTGAAACTGTTGCTTGTGTTTCTCCAGAAACTGCTGGTGCTGCTGCTGGATGACCAGGTGCTGCAGGGCCTGGGCGTTTTGGGGCAGCGGCGCCGACTGCGTGCGCCCCAGTGGGCGGTGCTGCCTCAGCTTGTGGATGGAGGGGGACACCCGGTCTGCGGCAACCAGAGACTGTGTGTGCAGGGGCAGGGCGCCCAGGCCTGAAAGATACCAGTCTGAAGATAACATGGAGGAAAATAGCAGAGGGGAAGAGGAAGAAGAGAGGAGGGGAGAGAGCTGTTGAGTGAATGACAGAGACACCGTGAGCTGCAGCCGCCAGCCCAGGCACCTCCTCCCTGGAGCCCAGCGGGTATGACTCCAGGCACACACCGAGCATCCTGAGCTGTCATTTGGAGAGTACTGTCTCTGACACCCAGGTTAATGCCATCAATAGGCATTCTGTGCAACAGGCTTCAGAACAGCTTGCCCTGCCAGAGGCAGATTCACAGGTACGAATGCCCCCTCAGAAGGTTCTGATCTGAAGAGCACTGTGGGCAACAAGAGTACCACATGCTGAGCTGAGGAAGGCCATAGTAGCCCTTCCCTGTCACAGAAACTAAGTGTGAGAGAAATAAACTGTCCTCAGGGGTCAAGTTCTTTTAAGGGTCTCTTAAAACACTGATTTTATGCACAAAGTGGGCATTAACACTTACAATCCTGATGGATATGGTCAAAACCTCTTTCTACAAATTTCTACAAGGATTTGCCAACGCCCAGGCCCACTGGCTGCACAGGAGGGTGCTGCGCCCACATCTGCACCTGCGCTAAGTGTTCAGATCCAGAGTCTGAGCTGACAGGATACATCTGGCTGTGTCTGCACTTGAATCTCAGATTAAATTACAACCTCTCTTGTGAACCAGGAAGTTTAATATTTTTCCTTCTGTAGGCTTTTCCTCCATCTGGTCTTTCTTTTGCAAATTGTTGTTTAGGTCATTGACCATTTTTCCAAGGTTCTATGGGCAAAAAGTTCTAACAAACCCCTTCCCCTGCAACCTGGGTATGTCCCCCTGGCAACCTGAGGTAAACAAACACTAAACATTGCTCAGGCTGAAAATGACCCTGGGTCAAGGATGTCCGACTGGGAGAAATGGTAAATGAACTGAGCACACTAGCTCCTGCTGCCCTGTGAGTGACCAGAAGGCTAGAATAACCCACCAGGTACCCACACCTGCTCCTCTACTGGGCCTTCTTCCCACCTATTCACCTGCCGAGTCCCACCTCAGGTCTTAAGCAATGATGTTCATTGCCAGGAAGCCTTCCCTGAAGCTCACCTGCCCCAGCACCCAGCCTCCTGCACACACCCAACTACCAAGCTCTGGGGCCCGTTTCCCAGGGCCTGGCCAGTAGGACACACTGGTCTGAAGGTTTGGTTCGCCGGCCACTCAGTCACTGTGCTCAGCTGGGTGGCCAGGCCAGGCAGTGCCCACGGTTCTGTGTGGAGCTGCAGATACAAGCCAGGACTCTGCAAACAGTTCCTTCTCGCCTGGAAATGAACCCGATTTCTATGTGCTGCCCTGGCTAGCTGCTTAAACTCAGCCTCTGGGAATACTGGGACTTTGCTCTTTCCAGGAGTAACTGTGTGCAGAGTGCCTAATAATTGAAAACATACGAGCCATAGGGCCTGCGGGGAAGGGCACACAGCACCTGAGACCCTCCACCTTGCTTGCTCTCTGACCCGGCCACTCCTCCCACACGGGCCCGTTTCCAGAGCACTTGTGAGTGGAGCTGGTATAACTTGGTCAGTCTGTCCAACGAGATCATCAGCAAGCAGATAGGTCTGTGGGTTGTCCACTTGGGGGGACTCAGATACACTGACATAGGAAACATGCAGTGAGAAATCCTGGGTCCTGCTCAGACACAGCCACCACAGACACCATGGCTCTCACTGGGCTCAGTCACAGGGATATTTGCTACGCCTATGCTATCTACTAGGCATTGCAGACTGTGTGGGTGCTGGGAGAGAGAGGATGGCAGAGCTGTCGGAAAATGCAAGGTCTGGGCTCCAGGAAGGAGGCAGGACAGACACAGTGTCCATGGAAGCTGACATAGAATGAGCACATGGGAGCAGGACAGAGGCACAGGAGCTGGCCTCGTGGAAAAAGGGGTTTTGGGAAAAGGACAGGGCTTCCAGAATTGCCCTGCAGGCCAGTTAGCGAGGAGTAAAACTGGCTAGTGATGAGCTGTGTGGGAGGAAGAGGCCCAGAGGCCTGGCACAGCGTATCTCCAGCTGAGAGCCGGGGCCTCACTGCAGCCAGCCGCCCAGAGCTTTCTGTGCCATGGAAATGGTCCAGGTTCCCCTGCACCAGCAGCCATAGGAGTATTCGCTATGCCTCACAGGTGACTGAGTGCTTTTAACTTTCAATTTCAATGTTAATAGCCACATGTGGCCAGTGCTCCTGCACTGGACAGCACTGTGCTGCACAACGGGGGGACTTCCCGGGCCCTGATGGAAACCTGGTGGCAGCTAGAGGACAGGATGGAAAGGCAGGAAAGCAGTCAGGAGGCGTCTTTCCACAGGGCCCACAGGTCCTGGAAGGACATGACCCGAGCCCAGACCAGCCAGTGACTCTAAGGAACCAAGTGCTCGAGAGGGACAAACAAGCATAAAACAGGAAAACCAAACCAAACCCCCGTCTAGACCTGCATGTGCCACATTTGGACTCTGAGGCCTGCAGGCACCTGCATTTCCCACTGAGGTTGGGGGTCACAGGTTTGGAGGTGAAGCTCTAATGTTGCTGTAGATTTTACTTCTGAACAGACAGAGAGATTCGAGAAGGCAGAAATGAAACTGAGGACGGTTTCCAGATGAGGACGGGCGACCGCAGCCCCCACACGTCTGGGAATCCTTAGTGACTCTGTACACCATCACTGCTATGAAGACTCCATCACAGATTTCCCACTTTTTCCTAAATATAACTGTCCTTTAGATGGGGCACCATTTTAATAAAAATTTACTGCTGATAGAAATTGACTGTCCTCCCAAGTCAGGCCTGTGTTTCTGCCACTTGCTTAGCTTGACCCAGAGGAAGGCGCAAACCAGAGGAGCTTCAACCTCCTCTTGAGAGGGCAGGACCTGTAATTGGCATGTCGTCCACCCAGTTCTGTGAGGGAGACATGGTGCATCATGTCACATGCCCGGACATGGGGGAAGTGAGGGAAACACAGGGTGGAACAGGCCTCCTTGCCGGTTCTGTGAGCTGGCAAGGCCTGATGCTGTGCAAAGCACTCACCTGTGACGAGGGGCGTCTGTGTGGGTGGCTGCTCCAGTAAGACCATGTGCTGCAGGAGAGGGTTGTGAGCTGCCCCGCCGTCCCGCTCCAGGGGCGCCGTGCTCAGGTAGGGCGTGAGGTGGGTGCCAGGAAAGAGGGAGAGCCGCTGTTGCAGGGCTGGGAGAGCCAGTCTCTCGGCTTCCTGCTGGCCTGCCGCTCCCTGGAGAGGCACAACTGGTAACGTCTAGGCTACATGCCCGTGACAGCCGCCCCGCACCACAGAGACCCTCGGAAGCCTACTTACAGCAGAAGGGCCGGTGGCAGGAAGTCCCAGTGTGATGTTGGGTAAGGATGGGGATGTGTAGAGGGGAAGTGGGGCCACGGAGCCTTCCCGAGTCACCAGTCTGTGTGCCAAGCTGGTCTGGGGACAGAACACAGGACGACCATCACACAGAGTCTGCTCTGGCCAAGTGTGGGCAACCACACCAAGGGGAAGAACAACAGAAAACACTTCTGGGAAGATCATGCCCAGAATATAAAGATGAATTAACAGATTAGAGCATGTAGGTGAGTGTAACATTTCAGAGCAGGCGGCAAGCATAAAAACATAGATTCATGATCCACCAAAGTCTCATTTTTATTCAAATTGCTTACTCATGGCAAAACTACAAGAAGAAAACCTAGGAAAATGTATTTTAAAATATATTCTTAGAGTTGGGAATGTCTTTCTAAACATAACATCAGAGGCAGAAACCAAAGAGGGAACTAAAGATGAAAAAAAACCCTCCCAAGAAAGGGAAAAAAATGGTGATGACAATAGTAGCAAAGTACAGGACAAAGGTTAATATATAGAGAGCTCACAAATCAAAAGCAGGCTCGTTTACACATTGGGCACCAGTTTGGCAGAGGCTTGCGGTTACTTGGAATCTTGTTCATGATGTGATGTTAAGTTAGAAAAACAAGTTACAAAATCTTGCACTTTTTAAAAAGAAGACTTGGACTATTTAAGTGTACAGCAAAAGTGAGGACTAGAAGGGCAGTCAGAAAAGGGTGAGCAGTGAGCAGTCTGCAAGGAGTTGAAGCACTGAGATATTTAACATTTTCTGTTTCTAGAATAAACCTTCTTTGATAAAAAACATTCACCAGCACCTCCCTGCACAGCAAATGTGCGCTAAGCCAATGAGCAAACCACCAATAGGTGACTTTGCCATGGGGCACGAAGGTGGGGGTGGCAGAAGTCTGCAAGATGAAAAATAACGTGAGGGATGAACATCCTGACTTCCTCCCATCCTTCCCACAGTGAACAACATAATCAAGGATGAGAACCATTTCACTTCCAGGGGAAAAGCTGTGGACTGAAAGCTGTTACACGTTACTGCAGATAGTGGTCACTGACTGCAGCCCTGCCAGCCTGCAGGGACAAGTGCCCACTCTCAGAGTGAACATCTCTGCCTTGCAGATTCCCGGGGTGGCTATGTTGATGGTGTCATATTTTGATGTCATCAAGAAACATACACTTTGTTTCTGTGCTAAAGGCAGAACAGGATGGAACGGCTTTCCTCACGAGGAAGGAAACAGCACGTCTTGTTCCGGAGACTGGCTGCAGCTACCTGTACAGCTACCTGTAGTCACTCATGTAGTCAATGGTACAGTAATGATGAAAGGATGAAAGCGCTCTTCCCACACAAAGCAATTTTGTTAGAAGTAAAATACTAACAAGCTATGTTTTAGGGAACATGATTGCGACTGCCAAGGAAACCATGGTTCCACTGAACTGAGATTCTCCAAGAACGAAGAGATGTTCTAATGTTTCCAAGGTTGTAACTTCCTCTTTATAACCAAGGCTATTTTTTTTTAACCTAAGTTATTTTTAGAAATAAAGCTGCCTCAGAATTACTTGGTAGGCTGACTTGCCCGCATTTTCAGTGTCAATGTCTGTCAGCTTCTCAGTTCTGCATACGTGCAGGGTTGGGGTCAGAGTGCCTGTGGCACCACCCTGCCAGCCACACCCCAATCATGAGGCACACCCTAGTCACAGGCGTGCCTCAATCACATCTAGCCTTCTGAACTGGACGGAGCTGCTGTCTGTGGCACGGGGAGCCCTGCATCCTCTGTATAAAGGGGGACAGGGTATAGTGAGGCTGAGCTCCATGCCATCCAGGGGTCCTTTGCCTCCCTCCCACACAAGGATCCTACACAGCCTCTGGACTGGGTAGCCTCTGTGCCTCTCAGGGAACTGTCCAAGCCTCAAAAAGGACACCTATATACCCTCACATTTTCTAAGACTACCCTGCCAATCCTTTTAACATTTCTTGTGAACCCTCCTACATCTTCTATTAATTTGCACTAGCTTAATTTACATTAACATGTGACTTGGAAAAATTAACACATACTTTAAACCAGAACCATGTAAACTCACCCAAATAAGGCATCCCTACAAGATGAAGCATTAGGTACATACCTACCCACCTTTAATAACAATCAGGGCCCAGGATCACTATTGCCCACATGATGATCCTGACATCTTGTTCCGGAAGCAATTTCTAGGCTGAACTGTACGCAACTTCAGGCCACACTGAGCTATGACCTGAACACCCAGGAGGACTGTCAAAATATTCTATAATCTAAATAAGCACTTAAACAGGTAGGTTGAAAAGAAAAGGTCATAAAAGGAGATGTATAAAAGAAAAAGATGAGAAAATGGATTAAGCAAATTAAACAGTAATCTTAGTTTCCAAAAATCTGCTTATCAATAGTGTCTAGAACTCTGTCAGCCCTTTGGAAGGGCTGGATTCATTTCTATTTAAGGAGGAAAGTAAAAAGCTATGTCTAATAAAGTATGGCCTCCTGTCAGTTAGAACTGAGAACACAGAACCCACTCAGTAGAGCTGTCTGGGCACGAAGCAGACGGTGTTTCTGGCTCAGTTTGCCAGACACTCAATGCCGAGGAGGTTCCCCACATGGATCCCCGCCCACATCCCCACTCAGCAAGTGCAAAGTTCTCTGCTGAAGACTGGCCCGCTCGACTCCCTCTCCCCACCAGCTTGAGGGGCCGGGGAGAAGCAGGCCCTTGGCTGGACCCTCGCCCTAGGTCCCGAGCCTGCACAGGGCTGGGGCAAGATAGGTGCTCCAGAGACACTTGAGGGATAAATGGAGGGAAATGAATGTAAGAGTGGAGGTCCTGGAACCTACTGCTGGATAGTCGCTCGACTCAGGTCTGGTCAAGGGAACGGCATGACCTGCAGCTGGCCCTGGGGCCCTCCACCTGGCTGAAGAAGCCATCCACCTCTTCTCCTAGGAGGCCCTTCTTCCCTCTCTGCCAACCCCTGCATCTGATGTTCCCTCTAAGTGATCCTAGAACCCAATCCGTGATGCTAACTGACACCCTAACCACCTCCCAGTGTGGCTCCAGCGTTCCTGACACAAGTACATGTGCCTGTTGGCCAACATTTTGAGCTGTGTATCTCTCAATACACAACAAATATTTTTGTTGTTGTTAATACTCACCCGAGGATATTTTTCCATTGATTTTTAGAGAGAGTATAAGGGAGGGGAAGAGACAGATAGAGGAAACATCGATGTGAGAGAGATTCATCGACTGGTTGCCTTCTACGTGCATCCCGACCAGAACTGGGGATTAAGCCTGCAACCAAGGTATGCGCCCTTGACCGGAATTAAACCTGGGACTCTTCAGTCTGCAGATTGATGCTCTATCCACTGAGCCAAACTGGCTAGAGCCACAACAAGTTTTTTCATTTCCATCCAGCCAGGATTCCAATGGGCTCCTGTTCCCAACCAGCATACAGAGCCCTGTGCCATGAGGTTACGGGCAGCTGGCACCACTGGCATGTGGTTCATGTGGAGGATGGATCTAATGTGTTCTGAAGAGCCCAGGAGGAAAGAGGGGGTGCAGAAATGTTCTTTGACCATGACTCTTGCATTGGGAACTCCTGAGTCCCTATGTAAAGGAGGTCGAGTGATGAGTGGCAGAAAAGGAATTCACACCAGTGCTCTGCAGGCTGCCTCGCTCCTCAGTTTCCCTCACCACGACCTGGACAGTCAAGTCTGAAGGACAACTGTAAGATGCAGTCACCTCAAGCAAATCAGCTCTTTGAACTTGCCTCGGGCCGGCAGGAAACAAACAGAAAGTGGGACACTGACCTCGGCTGGGATGCTGGGGACGGCGGGTGTGATCCCATTCTCCGTGCTGATGCTCCCGGAGCTGTTGTTGGGCGAGCTGGGTGCGGAGCCGGGGGCACTGCTGCATGCAGAGTCTGTAGTGGAAAGACATGCCGTCAACCATACTTGGCTCAAGTCCCAGGAAAGTCATGGGACTCACCTATTGACTGGGGCCTGAGCTGCTGCTCACCCAGTTTGTGGACAAACTCCAGCAGGAGAGAACATGACCAGGGTCCCCAAACAGCACTGTGCAGCCCAATCCCCATTTTTAGCTTTGCTAACCTTTCAGTTCTGTGGATGCCACAGCTGAGACTTTTGAGCTGTACACATTATCAATTTTATTTCTCTTTTGCGTTTTCAGATGATCTTAAAGACCAGAAAGACAAGCCCTTGGACACTACCTAATATTCTAAACAAAAGGCCAGGAAACACACAAGCCCAATGACTGAGAGCAGGGAAAGGTTACTTGTGGTCACTAGGAAAGCCATGTACCATTAGTGTCCACTTTGAACACATCCTCTCATCCTTGCTGAGTTACATCGAGGTCCAGGGAAAGTAGAGCTTGTAGTTTCTGCAACTGATCTGGGTTATGTGGAAACACACCCTACAGCTTGTATGAGTAACTGTGAAGGTACAGTGGCTGCATGCTGCTCGTGGGGAGAGGGCTCCATTCGCTGTTGCTGTGACAGAGGAGAGGAAGGTGTTTTGTTCAGTTGGCCTTCTGAGTTCCAGGGGAGCGGCCATGAACACAGAACTTGCTTTCTCTGCCCCAACCTATGACCATGGCCACCAACAGGTCCTGTCTGCTGGGAAGTCAGCTCTGCTCAGAGCATGGGCCCCTCTAGCCACTGGGGCCGTGATGCCTAGGACACCTGCACCTGTCCCTCAAGCTTTTTCTGGCCTGTGCAGCTTCCCTCACGTCCTGGCCCAGGTTCCTTTGGGTGCTTTTTCTATGAAACACACTCAGTGTCAGTCAGGAGTTGCACACCCAGTCTGCTATTTGTCTCAGAGTGATGGTCTAGTCCAGGGGTGGGCAAACTTTTTGACTCGAGGGCCACAATGGGTTCTTAAACTGGACCGGAGGGCCGGAACAAAAGCATGGATGGAGTGTTTGTGTGAACTAGTACATGTTAACACTGCTGCTGGTGAAGGAGCGGAGGGGAGAGCAAGAGAACCCTCCGCTCTTTCGGCTCCGCGGGCCGGATAGAACAGCTGAACGGGCCGGATCCGGCCTGCGGGCCGTAGTTTGCCCATGGTTGGTCTAGTCTCTTGAATTAGATCGAAAGCTCCTGGGCAGCGAGGACCTGAGTCGTTTTTGTGACCAGGCAGGTCCTGACTCACAGTAGCATCAGCAGTCATGGCTGACATGACATTCACTCTAATGCTTAGAAAGAAGCCCGGGGACAGTTCCATCTCCCCAACAGTGTGGCTAGAAATAAACGCTGGCCTTAGAGCTGGCCCTGACCAAGGTGCTGCTCAGAGGAAACCAGGCTGTGTCCGTGGGCACACAAGTGCTTTAACATAACGGTATTCTCTAATTCACACAGAAGCGTCAAGCTGGTGAAACCAAGAGGGACTTCAGACAACGTTTCTTCATGTCTTTAAATGAGGCCTCTAGAACAACTAGAGGAAAGACCCCACATTGAAAAAGGAAGACAAAGACAAAAATGGCTCCTCAGATTCTTTTACACTAATCCACAAATATGTGGAGGTAGGCTCTAGGCTGGGTTTCCCCTGGGCTGAGGAACCGCAAGAGCAGTGGGGCAGGGCTCCAGGTACTTATCTCATCCCGAAGGTGTTGGGACTCAGAGTGTGAGATGTGGCCACTCCTGGTCCCGAGAGCCTTGGTTTTCAATCCAACACTGTACTTGGTGCAACTCCCACCCCCCCCTTTTTTTCCAGGTTACCTCTAAGCAACTTCTTTTTCCTGTGCTTTCAGGAATTTGGATGTGCACCCTCATGACATGGTGCACCCCCAGGAAGCGGGGTGTGCCTCGAGGTGGGGTATATCTTGGATAGGGAATTCACTCTTGTAAGGGGGTGCTCCTGAGGACTGGGGTGCACCAGGGGACCTGGGGTATATCCCTGTGAAGGGATGGGCACTTGGAAAGGGTCTCTGCCCAGTGGGTGTATTCTGCGTCTCCACCACTAGGTGGGATCCAAGAGCAATGCACTCATTAGGAGAAAGTGGAGACCTGGAGCTCCTCATTTCTCTTCAGCCTACCTGCTGGCCCCTTGCTGAACCATTTTGATGCTCTAGCGGTTCTAGCATTGGAGCAGGTCACACACGCGTGACTCCCCACTAACAGGGCAGGATGAGTTAAAACCCCACCTTCAGAGTAACCTCAATCTGAATTCCTGCAGACCTCTCCTGCCCTGTTAGCTTTGTTGTGCTCCCTGTGCCTAGTGACTAATGCCGGAGCAGGGACAGGTGTGCAGGGTGGGCTTCAGCCTCAGAGGTGCTAAAGAAAAAGCCTCATGGAGAAGGTGGTGCTGGGTTGGTGGGCAGGCAGTGGGGTTTAAACTCTCTTCTAACATACCTGTGACATCCAAAGGACGCTTTTTTAGAGCAGTGACCACAGGCCCATCTTTCCTGCGCAACAGAGGGCTGCTCCGTCTCTCAGCCACTTTCTGCTTTAGCCGGGACCGTAATTTCAGATTGGGTTCTGAAGCTGCATGAAAAGGAGACGTCATTACAGCCAGACAGACACAACCTGGGTCAGGGTTATTGTGTGGTGGTTTAAAAATATGCACACTGGGTAAATATGTGCTTAATAGCGGAGCGAAGGCACTGTCCTGAGGCCTGTGGGCAGAGTATTTTCGATCATTCAAACAGCGAGTAAAACACATCTAATGCCTTTGGCTACATTTCCTCACATACAGGATTATAACCTTGTGTCAGTGGTGTCATCAAAAATAATGCTGTCACTGTGCCTTACCAGCAGAGGGGAAGAAAACTGAGAACTGGGCTTTTTGGGGCTTTGTCTCATGGGCATTATTCTGACCTTACACACTTTCCTGCTCACCTGCCAGGTATCACAAACCCAGAAGCAAGCTGCCTGCTGGAGCACCTGTGTCCTCTGTGAAGGGCACTAACACCAACCCCACTGGGGTGAGGGTTAACCAAGCCAGATCTCAACATCCTAGTTCACCTGAACACAGGCCACAGGTGTTTCGGCTTGGTTTGGTTTTTATTCATAGCTCTGCTTGTGTAGACGGAGCTATTCGCAAACCTGGGACTCTAAGCCCATGGTGGTTCCTAAGTCTTCTGTACCTAGAACCCAGGCCACCGCTGACCAATAAGGTATTAATCTTTATACACTCACATGGAATGGTGCCTCCATTATAAGATTAACTGAAAAATTGAGTTACAGGACAAAATGCAGAGCAGGTATTTTAACAAAAAGACAGCTATATACACCACACACACACCCAACACACAGGCTCTAAACTGTCTGCAGATAACAAACTATTGGCAGTAGCTGCCTTGGGAAATAAGACTCAGGGTCCGTACTTTTGTGTGTTAATTTAATATAAGCATGCTTTACTTATGTAATATTTCATATTAAAAAATGTACTCTATGTGATGCTTCAAGGTGGTGGGTTTCCTAAACTCCCTGCCCTACTCAACTGGGCTCGGGGCAGCTTTCCCACTGAACAGTGAAACCTGCAGATTTGAAAAGATCAGCACAAGATCTCACTGGGCACTTTTCATACTGAAAGGAGGTCAAGTCTGACAGATGTCGGTTTGAAGGCTGAACACAGAACAAGGTGTGAGTCACTTTCCCAGTGTACAAGCTGCCTAGTATTGAACAACACTCGCTATCCCTAAGAGTTTCTTTGGAAAAGCACAACAAAGTCTTCTTTAAAACCCCCTCATGCCCATTTTTAAAGAGCACTATTGCTCCATTTTAAAGATGGGCAAATGCACTTGGTGGGGTCATCTGCCCATGTCACCCGGTGAGGGCACGGCTGACTATGGAGCTCTTCCTCGCCCAGCAAGGCAGCTTCAGCCAGTGACAGAGGAAAACCCATCCGGCTTCCCATCGCAGCAGCCAACTGATACTTCTCGTGAGTCACTGCGAACGGGGCCATCCATGTAGAGAGGTGCAGAGCTGGATGAACGTTCTAGAAAGAGGAGCAGGAACCTGGGTTGCAGTAGAGAATCCAGGCTAGAAGCCAAGTTGTGGGTCTGCTGCTGGGTCCATCATGGTGCAGGGACCATTGGGAGCACAGGTTCCTTTCCCAGGCTGGCCTTTCTCACTGCAACAATTCTCCACGAGGCTGAGGAAAGCCTGGGATTTGCTTTGTACAACAAACGGGGAAGACAGTATGCCCATGCCAACCAGCTGGTCTCCTGCTGGGGAGAGTGGCCACTGTGTTGGAGAGCCAGGTGGGGTCCTGAACAAGCAGGCTCCATGCAGCGCAAAACTGTGCTGAGGTCCCAGAGTCATGGACAACATGGGAAAAGGATTGTGGTGGGATGACAACAGATTGTTTTGTGGTTCTGGTCTTTTTTCATCAATCGGAAGTCACATTTACAGGTCTTTATGAAACAACTAGAGGCCTGGTGCACAGATTTATGCACTGGTGGGGTCCCCAGCCCTGGCCCGTGGGGATCAAGCTGAAACGAGCTCTTTGACATCCCCTGAGGGGTCCCGGATTGCGAGAGGGCGCAGGCCAGGCTGAGGGAATCCACCATATATGAATCCGTGCGTGCACCAGGCCTTTAGCATGCGTATAAGATCTTTGGTTAATCTCTTCCCGCCCTCCCCCGTCCCCCCTTCCCTTCATCAGTCTGTTCCATGTTTCCATGCCTGTGGTTTCCGCTCCTGAGTTGAGCATCTGCCCCCATGGTGGTCAGTGGGCATATATCTACTGGTTGGCTGGTCGAATGGTCGGCCTGTTGCTTAGACTTCTATATATACTAGAGGCCCGGTGCATGAAATTCATACACTGAGTGGTGGTGGTGGTGGGGGGGGGCGGGATGCCCTTTCCTGCCAGCCTGGGCCCTCCCCAACTGCCCTCTCCTGCCAGTCATCTTGTGGCTGTGGGCGCTGCCATATTTGAGGGTGGGGCAGTCAATTAGCACATTCCCTCTTTATTAGATAGGATAGATTTTTCAGAAGCCAGTATCTTCAGAAATAGAATGACCAAGATGCTACTGGAGAACAATAACATCCCTATGCACCATCACTGTGACAAAACTCTGCTTTTAGAGGGGAAGAGCCTGCTTTCCTCGGTATGAATGTAGAACTAAACGCTGTACTTCACGGAAATCTCAGGTTAAGTCGTTTGCTGCCCCACAGGCCAGGTGCTGGGGATGTCGACACTTCTAGGACATCTGTCACTGCTGGGCTTGAAAAGGCTCAGAAAACCAGCATTAGGACCCAGAAGACCCAATGGGGGTGGGCACCACTTCACCTGCTCTGTACCCCTGTCTAGAAATGGCCCCTCATATTCTGGTTGAAGGTAGAGGACAACTCCTGTCAATCACTGGGAAAGGTGCGGGGCTAGAAGATGAAACCTGACATCCCAGTAGAACAAGGCATGCCTTGATGTCCAGACTTCTGGCTATAAATGCTAGTGTTTCCTTCAGTGAGGTCTTCTCAAGGGGTGTCCTGAGGTTCCCTAGGTTTCTGACTCTGGCATTGAGGAAAGGGCTGAGGGTGAGAAGTCTGGCCAGAATGGGTCACTGGCTGGGGAAAGGATCAAGAGTGCCCTAACAGCTCAGGAAAACACAAGCAGATGCTTGTCACTGGAGGCTACCTGAGGGAGGCATAGGAGGCCAAGAGCTCCCTAGTTATTAGGCAGCTGGGCAGGCAGAGTGCTCCAATTCCCCTGAGGATGCAAATACTCGGACAGATGGATGGGCTTTTCTCTTGAGACAGGACAGGTGAGAGTGTCACCCATAGAAGCCACTAAAGCCCAGGCAGGAGAGCAGGATGTGTGGAGTGCAGTGAGATTGAGGACATATGTTACATGCTCACACACTGTGGGACTGCCCCTTAAGGATGGACAGGTGGGCAAACTGTGTGCAGGGCAACAGAAATTAAAGGTAAAATCATGGGATTATTTAATTGTACATCACACCTGTTAAAGGTGATCATTTTAATTCATCCAAGGCATTTTGTAACTAACATTTCATTTAAAGAGTTTAACATAACTGACTGTTTCCACAGAAATGTAGGTGTAAATTATTTAGAATTAATTAGATGTCCAGTGTTTGAAAGAAGACACCTGTAGGATGACACAGGACATCTCACTGCAAGATCTCATTTAAACATTTTCCCTGAAATCTTCGTATTATTAATATTATTGATGTGCTACTGATGTCTTTTGATAACTGACAGTGCAGTCATTTCTTGATTAAGCTCCCTGGGCACCAAGCACCCTCAGTACAGGAGGCAGGGCCTTGGCCTGGGTCTCCCTCCCAGCCCGGTGCCCGCCACTCACCATGGACTCCAGCTTTGCAGGTCTGCACTTGGTTAATTACAGCTCCTAAAGGGGCTGTGAAGGGCAATTGGAGGGTGGGCCCCAGACCCTGACAGACACTTCTTTCTGTCCAGCTGGTGGACGCTCTTTTTAGGGGAACCCAAGATCATTCTTGGCAGATGATGAGTGAGAACCACACCTTCAAAGTAAAGAGGAAAGGACAGAAGCTCCACATCCACCTCCAGCATTAAAGGTTTTACACTTGTTTGCAGGACCCCACCTCTGGCTGGGTGGGGCTCCAACATCTAGTCAAGGCTCTGGGGTCAGCACCAGGGACATGGCTGTACTGCTGTGGCCCTTTCCTCTCACACACTTCGACTGCTAGTCAAGTTTCGCTGAGGTTGAGCTTCAACCTCCTTCCCTGCAATTTATAGCTTTGCATCCTGGTCTGACCCCTCTCTGGGCACAGCTCCACCTACTGAGAGGCCCCACATCTCAGTCTTAGGGTGGGCTGGCAGGTGAACCCCCACCCCCAATGCCTCATCACTGGGGTAAAAGACCTGGGGTGTGACTACTTTAAAACATTTCTGTACCGAATTAACCGAAATCTTCTTGATAACACAAAGTTTGTTTTTACAAAAACACAGCTGCAAGGCAGACTATTCCCATTAAGCAGGTGTCCCCACATTATGCACACTGCCCTGTGGCCCAGGCTCTGCTGCTGTTCAGGCCCTGGCCTCCCCGAGACAGAGCTCTGGACGGCCCTCCTGCTCCAGCCCTGCCCTTCCTCAGCCCCAGTGCACTGCCAAGGCCACTCTCATCTTCTTAAACGCCACTGCCTGCTTAAACTACCAATGCTGCAGAAAGTCCAAGAGGCCCGGCACCCTGTTTACATTTGTGACAGAGGTGCTGCTCCCCTCTGGCTTGTTACAAAGGTGCTGCTCAAACCCCTAAGACCTCCCCCGTGCAATGTCCCTGATTCCTTTCTCATGCAGCTTTTCCCCCAACTCCAGGGCCCCGACCACCCCCGCAGCGTGGGCTCTGCCCAGAGACAGCACTGAGAGCCAACAACAGAAGACCTCGAGGCCCATCACAGGAGCAGTTGTGTTCCCACACCCACCAGGGGACACTCTAGACTGGGACAGAGTACAGCATGCCACCAAAAGAAAAGTAAGTTTGCATGTTTACAAATGAGCTTGAGGGTTAAAAAGTACGTGCACATACATGACGTTTATTGCTTTTGGTATGAATCACACAAGAATACTTAAGAATATTGTTTAAAATGATGCTCTAGTAAAGTAGCACCTATTTAAAATAAGCAAGGGCTTCCTGTTAGTGCCAGGTGGACTTGGGGATATGGAGGGTGCAGGTGCAGAGCCCACCCCATCCTCACACCAGCAGACAGGGACACTGACCTGTTTTTCTGAGAGGGAAGTCGTCTTTGGCATCATACATGCCCAGGACCGGGTGGTTGTAGGAGGCTGACACACCGCTCTGGGGCGGGGAGCTCTGGTCCAGGGAGCTGTGCTGCGTTTTCCTGGGGATGACATGCAAAGACATGGCTTAGTGAGTGTGGGGCATGGACCCAGTGTAGCCTGGATCCTCGGAGCAAGCCACACCGAAGTCCGAGACACTGTCCCCATGAATGGTCCCCGTTTTGACATGAGCTCCAGCTCAGCTGACGGCCTCCTGGTCAGACCAGCTTCCTCTCTGGGGCCAGCCTGAAAGGAAACCAAAACCATCACCGACAGAGAGACAGGTCAAGTGACCACACCTCCGCCGCCTGACCCGGTGCTGAGAAGTCTCTGCCAGGCCACTGTTCTCAGGGGGCTCCTGATTTCGTCTGTACTCTGGCCACCAGGGTCACCACCGACAGAGGGTCTTGTTCTGGGGGGACAGGACCCAGGGGCAGACAGGTGGGCTCCAGGTGTAAGAAACCAAAGGTGTGATTGGGAGTGGCTGTGCGGGGAAATGGGAGGGCTTTGGGATGACTGCTGGAGCTGTCTGTGGGTCCTTGAGGGCAGAAGCCATGTGGTACTTCCCTCCAGCAGAGAACCTGCAGCTTTCACCCATGCCTCCACCAGGACACAATCACTGCAGACATTTTCCTTCTGTGGGGAGGGACAGGCTGCCCTGGAGTTGATCTATACATTTACTTCTTTATGAACAGCCATGCAGAACTCAGAATCCTTAAAATGGCTGGCAGGCAGGCTGCCACAAGGAGGCTCAGGGGAGAGGGAGGCCTCAGAGGGAGGGTGCTGGCTGCCCTCCGGACAACCATTAGCAAGCTCTGTCCTAGTGGAACTGCCTGCTGAGTCTTGTGGAAGCACCAGAGGTGTAATGAATTCTGTAAAATTCAAACTGTGTAATCTGCATAATGACTGAAAACAAATTTGCCAAACTTATTTGGAATTTGTTAGACTATTTATTTGAATACACAGGACTTCTTATCCATGCACCTGCTGCTATTTGAATTAAGAATGTGAGCTTTTAAGTGCTTACAGGTGAATATTTGAATGTTCAAGAGCAAAGCAGTGTAAAGAAGGTGTCTCTTACGGAGACCAGGTCAATGAGCAGGGCTGGTCCATCGAGTGCCTGGCACCAGCCCGGCCAGGCCACGCCCCACTGCTACAGGGACAAAACTCCATCGTTCTCATATTCCAGGGGACCACCTACGGCCTGGGCTGGGAGTCCAGGCTGGGACAGGGGCACCCATGGGCCAGCTACAACCTCATCATGGGTCACCTCTCCTTTAGGCACAAAGCCCTCCTGTTAACCTGCAGTTGTACTAAGATCCCAAAGGCCTCACCCCAGGGACCATCTCCCACAATGTCATTCAAGGTCTGGGGGTTAACACCCTCTACCGAATCAGTTTTACAGTGTATCCTAGGGGCAGCCACTTGCCAGACAGGTGAGCCCCGAAGTCCTGTCCTCTTCCCTTCCTTGCTCTCTAGGGGCAGCCACTTGCCAGACAGGAGAGCCCCGAAGTCCTGTCCCCTTCCCTTCCTTGCTCCCAGACACTCCTTGTGGACCCCTCCCTAGAAGCCCCTATACTTCCAACCTCACAGCTCCTGCCCTGTCTCTGCCAGAGGCCACCCGTTCTCTGAAGCCTCCTGAATGCAGGTGATGCACTTTCCCAGCCTGTTTTCCATGCTCCCCTCATCCATCAGCCTACCACCATGGCCTCTATTCCTACCCGCCTAGTGTCTCCTAGCACCACAGTTACCCTAACCCTCCTCCAGGGCCCTGTGGCTGCCACCCAACAACCCTGATGTGCTCAAGCCATGCCTCCCACTCTGACTTGCCTGGGCTCACCTCGCTGACACTGCTCCTCTTCTGGATAGGTTCCTGGGGCCTCCTCACCCCATGGTCATCTCTTTTAAGGTTATTTGCCAGCTATCTCAGCCTCCCTCCAGCTATTGCCCTTACAGGTCTATAGTCCAGGTTCCTCTTTGTGCCTCCTGATCCCTGAGCCCACCCCAGCTTCATTACTGCTGCCCCCAGCTCAGCTCCATGGACACCGCCACAGCCATTTCCCAACTGCTACCCTCACTCAGCCAGCATCCACCTGCCACCCCAGCCTAGACAGTGGATCTTTCCCATGACAAAACCTGTAACTATTACTAGTGGAGAGACCACAGGTCAGACTGGTGCTACCAAATGTGGGGTCTCCAAGTGCACTGCCCCAGCACTTCTAACGAACCCACCCCTCTCAAGTTGCTAAGGGCTCAGGACTTTGTTATGACTTTGCATGGACCCCCATGGCCTTCCTTCCTGTGTGACTGTCACTGGTTGAGCTGTATAAATACCACAGCAGGTCATGGCACGAGCACAGCCTGGTGTCCCAGCAATGAGCAGTCACAGAGAGCCAAGGGGAGCAGAAAAGGGCCTGGGGACAAAATGCCTTTAGGTTGCATTGAGATACCTGATATGTCATTTAAGGGAATAAGTGGGGTTACCTCAATGGGATTTGGTGTTTTAGTACTTTGGAGCTTGAGGGCAGCTACATTTTTTCCCAATGAAATTAATGGTAGTCACATTTTGATTTATAAAAACTACCCTATGTATTTCTCCCAACATGAAATTACCCAGGCGAGCATTAGAAACCTAAATATAAAGCAAACATCTGTGAAGCACCTTGGTCAGTGTTAAAAGCCACAAGCTCGCCATGCCCTTCAAACCTGGCCTGTGTCCACGGCCAGCGCCCTGGAACCGTGCTGACAGAACATTCCCCCTGCACATGGCATCACCACTGACAAGGTCAGGACTTTCGACTTCCAGCATGAGCAGGCTCTTTGATGGTCTCTGTCATTGTGCAGGCTCTGGCAGAGGCTCTTACATAAAAATAATAAACACACTGACTCCCTAAGAATCAATAACACCTGGGGAAGAGATTCAGAAGGTGCCTATGGACAACTGAGACCAGAGTTCCATTTGAAGTGGATTCTTTTGTGGCCTGAGACCAGGAAAGCCAAGAATGATGGGCAGGCCCCAGCTCTGGTCATTTTAAGAGAGGGCCATGCTCCTGGGGGTGACTGCAGTGCGTCTTACCACCAGACCTCGTCCTTCATAGCATGTTTGCTATTTGTCTTGGGAGTGTCTAATTCCACACCCTCCCACTGCCTTCCAGGAGCAGAACTGGTACCACTCAAATCTATCACAGATTGCATGCTTGGGGCCCTGCCCACACCCCACTTACCCATACCAGTAGCGAGGATCACTGGAGATACAGTGGTTCAGGCTCCGGTGGGCCAGCGCCTTCTTTTTATTGAGGACAAACTCTTGCAACTTCATCTTCACTTCTGTGCTGGCCACAGCACCTGGCGTGGGAGAAAGCACAAGGCAGTGACTGGAGGCTCTGCCCTGAAATGGTATAAAGGGGCTGGAGACATTGAGATTGTAATTAAGGAGGCTGCTGACACCATGGAAGCTTCTCGAAGGAAGAAGGCAGAAGAAGCTTTAATAAGAGGTCCTCTTCCCGCCAAGGATTTTTACATAATTGCATTCTACCAGACGTGCAGAAGCAATCAATATGGGGACAGACTATCCCCTCACAAACCCACATCTGAACGAAGTTTTAATATCTCTCTCTATATAAAAGCCTAAGCGACCATTTGACCGGTAGCTATGATGTGCACTGACCACCAGGGGGGCAGATGCTCCCTGCACAGAAGAGTGGTCCTAGATTGCGAGAGGGCGCAGGCCAGGCCGAGGGACCCCACCGGTGCACGAATCCATGCACTGGGCCTCTAGTTCTTACATAAAAGAACATTATGGCCTTGGCTGGGTGGCTCAGCTGATTGGAGTGTTGTCCTGTACAGTAAAGGATGGCAGGTTCGATTCCCGGTCAGGGCGCATACCCAGGTTGTAGGTTGAATCCTCCCCAGTCAGGGTGAGTGCAAGAGGCAACTGATAGATGTTTCTCTCTCACATGGATGTTCCCCTCTCCCTTCCTCTCTGAAATAAAAATAAATAAATAAAAAAGCTCTGGCCTGAGCACTGGCAGCAGAGTGATTTCTTTCTCACTACAACACTAGAAGCAGAATCTCAGAAGCGTTGTACACACCGACACGTCCCTCCCATGGCAACGGCAGCAGGGATGAAACCTGCATCCTGGGCAGGCTGCCACACTCCTGAACCCATAAGGCAGCAGGTTCCTTTGCAATCATATCGACATTATATATAACACATAATATCGAAGGCACATTTCTGTTTCTTCCAGCCTTGCAGCTACTGAGGCAGAGAGTACTTCACCAACTGGACTAAAGTCAAGGTCATGAGCTTTGTGGTTTGTTGGGCTGCTGGTTGGCCATAGCCTCTCCCACCATAGAGCAGGTCAAGGGTCAATGGTGCCTGCAGCTGCCCTGGAGGCCCCTTAACCTTGCAGATGCCCCTCCTCCTGTAAGGTTCCTTCCAGCAGCTCAAGGGACAAAAGCCTCTTGGTGTCCCCTGTTGGGGTGTCTTGAAAGTAGCACAAACAAGCTAATCTCAAAAGAGACACACAGAAATTAAAGTCCAAACTCACACTCCCACACCCAACCTATGAACATCTATCCTGTTTCCTCAGAGCTGCCATTGATTACTCAGGATCTGTGTCCATTCCCCAACAATGATGGGCCTAAGTATGTCCCATCATTGTATAGACTCAAACAGGATTTTCATGGTGGGAAAACATTCCCACAGTGAGTGAAAGAGAGTTTACAAAATCAAGTCCTGACTGTGGGGCATCCTTAGATTTTCCTTTTGTTGTGGTTAGAAACCACGCTGCAAAGAACATGTATGAGCCAGTAACACTGTCCATGTGAAGAATTAGTGCTTAGGAGAGACCAACAAAATGATGACATCTAACAAGTTTAATATTATAGTCCTTGGAGCATCTTCCAAATGCCTTTAAATACTTGTGACTTCCTATTGGCCACACACCAGGGGCAGGTCCCCTACATCTTTATCAACAGTTGGGATTACCACTTTATCTCTCAGTACTTGGCATGTTTTAGTGCCACTGGCACTGCAGGAAGGGGATCAAACTGCATGATGATAATGAAGAGGAAGAGGGTGAAGACAACCCCAATGGCCAGTCAAAGGACATAACCTTCAGGTCCTTCCACACCTGCTGGCTCAGAAGGAGTAATGGAAAGCAAGACGAGAAGAAGAGTTTTCACTGAGCAGGATAAGAACACATCCCAAAAATTTCCAACAAATGAGAATCCCTGTTAGCTAGCCTAACCTCAAGAAATACCTATTCACATGGATCCACTTTCCCTTTATGGGAGGGATGGTATTTCTTACCTGCAAGCGCTCTAGGAATAGAGAGAACCTCACATCTCTCATTTAGGAAGTCACTGCCCCGCCCTGCTTTGGCCATACCCTCAAGCTTGCATCATGGGCTCCTGAACTCCGAGAAAGGCAAAGAACAAATGGCCAGCCCCAGCAGGAAGGGCACATGATAAATCCCAGTAACAACCAAGGGCAGGAAGGTGTGGCCAGGGCACATGCACTGCCCAGTGGAGATGATGGCCCATTTATGCTAAGCACCCACCAAGCTGGGACACCGAGATGCCCTTGTCCCCTGAGCTGCTGAAAGGATCCTCATAGAGGAGGGGTGTCTGCAGGGCTGAGGGGCTACAGGGCAGCTGCAGGCACCATGGCTCCTTGACCTGCTCAAGGGTGGGAGAGGGCACCATACCAGGCTCTCATGAAATCAAAGGAAAACAAACCCAACTCCCAAAACAACACTTCCTCATCTTTAAAATGATCTGAAAGGCTCCTTACCCAGATAAATGAACTAAACAAATGATGCAGTGCCTCCCTGACCTGTCCGACCAAGTCTACTTTAGAAGAAGTGGCCAATGGTGATGTGGTCACAGGAGTGACCCCAACTGGCCTCCAGCCACCTTTAGCTGGGGGCTGAGTTACGGGTCCCTCCTCACAGGGGCCAGTGGGCATGACCCAAATGCACGTCCTCTCAGCTCCCCACAGGCCTGACTGCAGCAAACAAGTAATGCCAAGGCGCAGACCTGCAACTTTGAGTGCAAAGGAAATCTTCTTTTCTTCTTTGTACTTCATGAGGATACGATTCAAAAAGGAAGCTGCTGGTTCTGATTTATGTACTCACCTCTCAAAGGATTTTTCCACTATAAATCGAAGTTCTGGAATCAATAACGCCTCTTCAATAAACAAAAACCAAAAGTCTCAAAATTTCTACTTTTTAAAATAATTCATGTACATTATCATTTATTCATTTGAGAGGATTTATAGAGACCTTACTATGTGCTAGTACTGATCCGGCCAACATAAGAGAGACAAAGTCTCATACAACAGGGTGGAGTGAGGCAGAGGGCTGTCTAAAGAAAAGGCAGGTAAATAAAAAGATAAATAGGAAGAGAGATATGAAGTACAGTAAACCAGATGGGACCAAGCAGATAGGTGGGAGAATCTAGACCACTTTGGGACACATCAAATAGGTGAGATGACCTGACCAGGTGGGGATCCAACAGATGGGTGGGAGAACCTGACCAGGTGGAGGCCCCAAGAGATGGGTGGGAGAACCTGACCAGGTGGGGGCCCAGCAGATGGGTGGAGGACTTGACCAGGTGGGGGCCCAGCAGATGGGTGGAGGACTTGACCAGGTGGGGGCCCAGCAGATGGGTGGAGGACTTGACCAGGTGGGGGCCCAGCAGATGGGTGGAGGACTTGACCAGGTGGGGGCCCAGCAGATGGGTGGAGGACTTGACCAGGTGGGGGCCCAGCAGATGGGTGGAGGACTTGACCAGGTGGGGGCCCAGCAGATGGGTGGAGGACTTGACCAGGTGGGGGCCCAGCAGATGGGTGGAGGACTTGACCAGGTGGGGGCCCAGCAGATGGGTGGAGGACTTGACCAGGTGGGGGCCCAGCAGATGGGTGGAGGACTTGACCAGGTGGGGGCCCAGCAGATGGGTGGAGGACTTGACCAGGTGGGGGCCCAGCAGATGGGTGGAGGACTTGACCAGGTGGGGGCCCAGCAGATGGGTGGAGGACTTGACCAGGTGGGGGCCCAGCAGATGGGTGGAGGACTTGACCAGGTGGGGGCCCAGCAGATGGGTGGAGGACTTGACCAGGTGGGGGCCCAGCAGATGGGTGGAGGACTTGACCAGGTGGGGGCCCAGCAGATGGGTGGAGGACTTGACCAGGTGGGGGCCCAGCAGATGGGTGGGAGAGCCTGACCAGGTGGGGGTCCGGAGATGGGTGGGAGAACCTGAACGGGTGGGCGCCCAGGTGGGGGTCCGGCAGATGGGTGGGAGAACCTGACCGGGTGGGGGTCCGGCAGATGGGTGGGGAACCTGACCGGGTGGGGGTCCAGCAGATGGGTGGAGGACTTGACCAGGTGGGGGCCCAGGCTGAGGGGCTGGAGAATGAGCTGGTGGACACAATGAATTAAACAAATCTGTTTCTACCTTCAGTTGCCTGTGCCTGAACCTAACTCCTTTTTTTTATGCTCCACGTTCCTCTGAGGAAGGAAATGGAACAAATGGATCACTTTCAGGATCAGATGTTCAGTCTTAACTTCAGCCTTTTGAGCCATTTTTACAACAAAGTAAATGAGTTTCCTAGTGAAGGCCCCTTACTCTCAACTAGGCTATTATAAAGGACATTGATGAGAGTCGACATGCTCATTCTGACCTGCTCAGAAAACAAAGACTTGCTTTTAAATTTATATTAAGAGACAGTGTAGTTCAGATTCTTAAAGGTAGTAAATCTAACTAAAACTTAACTGATTAAAGATCGTGTATCAATGCTGAGATACCATAACTCCCACAAATTCTGAGAATTCACTATTCTTTCAAATGAATGGTATTAATGGTATCAGAAATTAAAAAAAAACACCTGCAGAATTATTTAAAATTAAAAGTACTGTAAATGTTTACAAATGTAACAAAATTTTGAATTAAGTATTTAAAAAGAAATTAATTTTAAAAAACAAGAATCTGGACAGCAGTGTGCCCTGCATTTCCAAGTGTGTAACCAGGAGCTTGATCACAGGCAGGGCCACAGCCGCCAATACCAGGGCCTTCACACAGGACCGCACTCAAGGTGGCAGAGCCGACCCCAGTGTGCCAAATCCTCACACCGTACACAGTTTACTACTACTAATAAAACCTGATCACCCAAATCCACACATTGGAAACCACCGGTGCTACACTGTGACGAGCTTGGAGAGAAGCAGAGGGCACTCTGGCGCTCTGGCTGGGCTGAGTGGGGTTGCTCCACAAGGGCTGCAGAGATTGTTTCTGACTTGCAAACAGATTTAAGATGTTTTCTAAAGTCAAGGGTTTTCATATTTTGTGAGGCTTAAGATGTTGTTTGTCTGTATTGGAAGATTCTGATAAATACAAGGACTAATTTAGATGAGCTGCTTTTAAGCAATCTGAAAAACTGGTATTTTGTTGGTTAGGTGTGGCACAGACCAACTATCTGATACGTTAAACATCCATCCTTGGATAAGCAGCAATGACTTCCTCCCCCTAAAGAAAAATGTGTAGGATCACTGAGCTCCAAGCAGAGCATGGGAGAATGAGGACAGAGGACTTCCTGGCAGGCCACATGTAACAGCAGCCTTGCATGCACTCCTGCGGCTTTGGGTTGCATGCAAGCTTCCTGCTCACAACAGAAGCCCCTCACAGTGCCCCCTACAAGGCCTGGTGCTGTTGTCTATGGTGGCGGCTCTCTGAAGTGGAAGGCAGCACCCGTATAGTAGGCCAGGCCACATGTGACAGGCCCCAGAGCGTCTAATTTATGTAGATTCCTAACACAGAGCGAGAAGAATCATCTAGACTGCCAGTTCTCATCCTGGCCACACAGTAGACTCACCGGGAGTTTTAGAAACGACAATTCCGCTGTCCACACTCCAATCCACATACACATGCCAGGACACCTGGCTCCACGTGCTGCACCTCTCACGCATCCCTCATGGTGTCAGTGCCCTGGCTACACCCTCAGCCAGGAAGTTCCCTCAGCTGAAAGAAGTCACCACACATAAGACAGGCAGTGGTATAGAAGAGGAGTGTCATCTGAGCCAGTGGGCCAGGCAGTGAGAGAGACAAGGGTAACTGACACCATGTGCCCCATCTGCCCCTTGCAGGGCCCCAATCTGTGCTCTAATACCAAGGATGCTAGCAGCCAACCAGAGTCTACAGTGCAGCTCCTCCTGGCAGCCTTCTGTCCTCACTGCTGGATCTCAACTGGGCCACCCCTGAGCCTGCAGTCATCACCACACCTCATTGCTGTGGTACAGATCACTATGCCACTCAGTTAGTCATTACTTTCAAATATCGCACAAAAGTCAGATCTCACGGGGAGAATAAACTCTCCTGATGTGCTTTTCACATTGAAGCTCTATCAGAGTTGAAGAAAATGTTTATTATTTTAAGAGTAAATTGCTGGCCAGGCCAGTGTGGCTCAGTGGTTGAGCATGGACCTATGAACCAGGAGGTCACAGTTTGATTTCTGGTCAGGGCACATGCCCAAGTTTTGGGCTCTATCCCCAGTAGGGGGCGTGCAGGAGGCAGCTAATGGATGATTTCCTCTCATCATTGAGGTTTCTCTCTCTCTCTCTCTCTCTCTCTCTCTCCCTCCCTCCCTCCCTCTCTGAAATCAATAAAAACATATTTTTAAAAATATTTAAACAAAAAAGTAAGCTGCTGTAATAACAAATGATTGTAAAAAGTGTTAATTTTATGTATAAAAACAATTACTATGAACTTACAAATAGAGAAATAAACTAAAAATAAAGAGAATACACTAGTTAGATACTTTTAGAACAAAAAAATGCCCTTTTTAAAGAGAAAATATTTATAAAATGTAGAAAACAATATAGGCATAATAGTACAGATTTTATTATAATCTAATTCTAATTTAAGAAGGATAGATAAATTACGTCAGGAATGAACTTATGTTAGAAGAGTGACATAGAACGAACAACTCCACATTCAGAGAAAGGAAGACAGCGCATTAGACAAATGGGCACACTTCAACAATGGAGAATAGCAAAAGGTGCCCATCTCACTGGTAATCAGAGAAACATGCTGGAGCCATGAGGCGCTGCTACACCCAGCTGACAGGGCAGTGACTGATGGCAGTACCAGCGCTGGTGGGGACTCAGAGCAACAGCAACTGTCCCACAGCTGGTGGCAGCAAAAACTGGTACAGAGGCTTGGACAACCATCTGGCATCACGTATGAAAGCTGAACACACACTACCCTAAGGTTCAGTGATACGACATCACAGGGACTCATCTGCACCCAGAGACATGTCCAAGGATGTGCATGGCAGCTTTACTGCGACAGCCCTGATCAGAAAACAGCTCGAATATCTGCAGTGCATGGGACACATATGGCGGTGCGTCCATGAGGGGTTGATCCGCAGTAAAAGCGCATGAACACCAGTGAGGATGGCTTCGCAAGCACAGTGTCAAGCGAAGAAGGGAAATGCATGAGCCCCTAGATAATGATCCCACTCATTTTGGAAGCAGGAGAGATGACTCTGGGGTGTTAGGTGTCGGGGAGCAGTTACCTTAGGGAAGGAGAATGGAGTGGTGACTGTCCTTGTACTTCAGGACGGTAACACAGGATGGTCCTTGAGGACAGTTTCCCCCAAGAGTTCCCTATAAACTGAAGATTGGGGGCTTTTCTGTATGTCTATCATACACCAATAACAACGACCTTTATAATAATCCTATCAAATAAAGAGGTAATATGCAAATTGACCATCACTCCAACACACAAGATGGCTGCCCCCACGTGGTCAAAGATGACCGACGGGAAGGCAGTTGAGGGGGATTGGGCCTGCAGGGGAGGGCAGTTAGCGGTGACTGGGCCGGCAGGGGAGGGTAGTTGGGAGTGACCAGGCTGGCAGGGGAGCAGTTAGGCAACGGTCAGGCTGGTATGGGAGTGGTTAGGGGGTGATCAGGCTGGCAGATAGGCGAGCGGTTGGGAGCCAGCAGTCCTGGATTGGGATTGGGCCTAAACGGGCAGTCGGACATCCCTCGAGGTGTCCCAGATTGGAGAGGGCGCAGGCTGGGCTGAGGGACATACACCCCGCCCCCTGCACAAATTTCATGCACCAGGCCTCTAGTTTCAAATAACAGACTTTACAAGAAGACTTTAAAAATATAAGATGCTGTTGTGGAATTGGATATTAAATTTAAACAAAAGTTTGTTAAAATGACTTGTACAGATGGCTAATCATTTTCAGAAGTTGAAGCTGAAGGACTTTTGAGAATTTAGAGCAGGGGTTTAAACTTTTTAAACTTTTTAAACAGGGGGCCAGTTCACTGTCCCTCAGACCACTGGAGGGCCGGACTATAGTTTAAAAAAAAACTATGAACAAATTCCTATGCACACAGCGGCGGCAAAAACACCCGGTGGGCCGGATAAATGTTTTCGGCGGGCTGCATGTGGCCCACAGGCTGCAGTTTGAGGACCCCTGATTTAGAGGTTTTGCATCTTGGTGAGGCATATAAAGTCTTCTTCTTTTACTCGTGAATATTGGATGGGCAACTCACCCAACCATCAATGCCCAAGCCCTGACAGGGACAGATATGCAACCTGACTTATTTCAGTATAACCAGGGACAACCAAGTTTAGCTGAGCACTGGCATTGGGTGGAAGCTGACAGGCAAGGACTGTGGACATGGCTCTGCTGAGGAGGCCCTGATGTGTCATTGCAACAAGTTGTCAAAAGAAAGTGGCACAATACTCCTGGGGGCAGTGTTCCTTTTATCACAGTCTGGGCGGGATGCTGCAACTGTCAATACACTGGGCCTTACTCAGGCTAGTCACCTTGTGTCCATGTCACTGTGCAAGCCCAAGACAATCTCTGTCCAGTGGCCGTGCAATCAGCAGAGGGGGCTGTGGCCTCTTCCCTAAGAGACTCGGGAAATTTTCCAAAAGGGAACAGCACACAGAGCAGCCTCCAGGCTCAGATCAAGTCTGGGCCTTTCTAAGGATAACAGACCACACTGGTATCAGAGATAGGGGAACAGCCACTATAAAAAGCAGAATTGGGGTTGGTCACAATGTCTCCTCTCAGCTATGGGTGTCCCACAAGCTAACATTGTGTTCAAGGCATCCACAAAATGCTCTCAAAAGAAAAGAACTTTCAAATACTTAAGATTGAGCTCACGGGTAAAACGCATACCCATTTGGTTTTTAATATTTTCCAACCTATTAGGAGTCTGCCAAATATACTTTAATATGCTTATGTCAACTCAAAGGTCATGCTGACTGCTCTTGCAGCCCCCAAACGAGAATAAAGTCACTATTGAGGCTGAAGCTGAGAGCAACTGTAACAGCCACTTGAAGTGACCCTGCTAGGACCAGGGAACAAGTGGAGCACAAATAACCTCGACCCGAGGAAGGCCCTGGTGTGGCCTAGATGTGACACTCACTCTCTTTGCCTTTCTCCTTGTTCTTGAGCTGCTGCAGCTTCTGCTCACGGTGCTGCTTCTCCAGCGCCTGTTCCTGGCGGTGCCTCTCCAGCTTCCGTTGGTGCTCTAGCAGCTCTTGCTGGTGCTTCAGGGCCAGCAGTTCCTGCTGGTGCTGCAGGAGGGAAGGAGACAGGTCAGAGCCTGGGGCTGAGACAAGAACCAACACACACACACACACACACACACACGCGCGCGCGTGCGCGCGCGCGCGCGACAGAATCAGCGCAGGACCAGTTCGCCTCTGTGTAGGTGCTGCCACTGGGGCTGGTCCTGTCCCACAGCCTGCGTTTCCTATGATTCTATCCCAACTCTGTGCAGTGCCCACGCAAACAGGCTGCTCGGGGCCCAGATGTCTCCTGACCTTTTAAGTGTTAAGAATGAAAATAAAAATGACTGAATCCTAGAAGAAAACACACAGGGAGATTTATTTATGTCATCTTGCAAGCTGGGAATGCCTTTTTGAGAATAACACAAAAGAGTGTGAAACAAGCATTCACCCTAAGGCAAAGCTGTCCTACTCCTGGGACTCACCCAAGAGACATGGGGCAAATCTGCCCAAAGCCCTCTAGGGAATGTGTATGGCAGTCCTGCAGGATAGCCCAGCTCGCCACGCCCGATGTACCTCCAAGTTGAACACAAACTGTGCATTCACATGCTGGAATACTACCTAGTGATGAAAAGGGATGAGCTAGAGACAGAGGAAAAAAACACAGACTGCAGAACCACAGTGAGCATGCCCACTGCTGACCGTGGGGACAGTGACAGAGTCAGCAGGCAAAGTTTCTACTTCTGTGGTGTTTGAGAATAGAAATTCCTAAGACCTGGTGACAAAAATCAGAGGCAGGCCCATGGATACTGAGGGTCACTTCTAAGAGCTTTCTTATAGAAAAAAAATATATTGTAGTCAACTTACATGAACTGGGGACAGTGGACATTAGCAGGCACATTCCATGCCCTTCCTGCCACCTAACAACACTCTTGATGGCAAATGGCACGGGGTCAGAGGAGAGTGCTGAGGCCAGCCTGCCCGGCATGAACCTGGCTCTGCATCCTCAACCCCCCGACCCCCTCCACTCAAATACTGAACTCCTCCCTGTGAGGGCTACAGGAGGTAATCTCTGGGAAACACTTAGAACAGCGTGGCACAAGCCTCTTGTCTGTTTTCTGTCTTCCTCTGAAAGACCTTGACTCCTTCTGAATGTTGCAATGACATCCTAAGATCAGAATGAGGCCCCCAGTGGTCTTCCAGAGAAACAGCACTCACAGAACAGACCCATAGGGATGAATTCCAGGAGTTTTAAACCACAAAACTGGCTTCCTAGTTCTGCAGTGTTGGTCGCCAACAGTTAGCAAAACCTGGGTCGAGTGCCCAGCTCCAGCTCCTGAGAACTGTCTATCAGCTAGAACTGTGCAAACAATTCAAACCGGTGGGGTTTTCTTACTGCTCAGGAGGGAAACTAAATTACACCTTTGTGACAAAACAATAAATGAAGTGGGGGTGAAACATGCCCCTTATTTTTACTTTTGATCCCAGACACCATGCTCTGAGCTGCACTGTGGAGCTGATGTTGTACTCACTGAGGACAGGCGCACATGAAGAAGGACTCCACCTGAAGACCTATTTGCTTGTCTGAATAGACACAGAGGACCTGCCCAAGAGCCACACGCTGTGTCTGTGGTAGAGGCTCGCCCCCATTCCTGGGTCACCAGTCGTGTCAACAGCCCTGCCCTCCTGCATTGGCAATCTCAAGAAACGTGCATCCCGGCAGGCTGCCTGCTGCTGCTCAGGTCAGGACAGTATTACAGCGATATTCCGACAATAGCTTTTATAATGAAGTGTCCCTCCCCACTGGTATTACCTACACCCCAAGGGCCCTAAGTACAGCCTGGGTTCCCTTTCAGCTGCTCACTATTCATTTAATTTCTAAATGAGGAACAGGCAGAAATTTGCTTAATAGTCTTTCTCAACATTTATTTTTGAGCCAGAACCCAGAAGGAAAGAGAGATCTTTCAATTATCTTTACAAAAAGACTGGAAACAACCACCACAGATACTGGTGATTAAAATTCACAGGATTACAGAACTCCCAGAAAAACAATATTGTCATGGAGTTTTAATGAAAGCAGCAAGTACAAACAACGACTCAGATTCCCCAAAATGCCCCAGAGCTACACTGTATGATCTCATTCCACCTCCCATTTGGATGGACATTACCCAATATTAGATTATATTAAAGCCCATAAAACAAAAGTGATGGAATAAATCAGACCCTGGCAGCCCTCCGTCACAATGTCACGTCACATTTCTGGCCTGTCTCTTGATCTTGAGACAAAGCGGTCCTCTAGACTCACAGATTTAGGGAAATAAGGGTGAACTACAACATAAAGATCATCTGTATTACTGTCCCCGATCACGCATCTCTCTGTGGAATCGTAAATATGAACTGCCTGTCAGCACCCAGGAAGGCTCCTCCATGGGGAATGAATGAATGTGTCACGAAGTATAGTCTTCAGAATACAAAACAGGTCTTTGAGATGTGCTAATTTTCATGTTAGGTAAAATCCATAGAATTATTTGCACCTAGTATCTCGCTAACATGAGTGAAGGTCAAGACTATTCTATAGAGAAAGAACTGTTGATAAGCTATTTTTTGCAGATTGAAACTATTATGAGCAATTTAAAGATATCTACAACTTAATTTTTCTAAGAAAAAAAACTCAATAACAATAAATCCCATTACTTCAATGAGAGTTTAACACTGAATTTACTTTTAAGCCAATACTGAGCTCAGAATCAAAGCACAGGTTCCTGGAATTCAGCTTCTTTGACTCTGACTAAACGAATGTTCAGGTGGAAACCCAGCCAAATGTCTACTCTCAAAAGTGAACTAAAACCCTGCTACATGGAAGGACTGAACCTGGGGACAGGTACCCATCCACAGCCCCAGCTGAGGACAGAGACCTTCCAGCCTCCAGGGAACTGTCACCTGACCCTCTCAGAGTGCCTCTGATTAATCCTATGGATCAATAACCAACCGGTCATCAGAAATGGTAGCAGTCAAGTTCCATTAAAGCACATTAACACCACCACAGGGACGCTTACAAAGCTGCTCAAAAACCAACCTCCCTGGGCCTGGACTCTGCAAAACAACTAATGCTGAGGTCATGACCATTCAGACGTCAAGTTCTTGGAGCCAGAGGTGCCCCATACAATGGCAGGAGTTGCAGGTAGGTACCTGTATTTCAGCACGGGGGAGTCCCATGGGCCATGTGCACACTCTGCTGGGGGAGGAGGGGGATGTGAAAGCCACAGCCTGCTCAAGAGCCCAAGGATGTCTAATGGTCAAACATGCAAGTACCCTACAGGGGTCAAGGGCTCCTTTTGAAAGTCAAGGGTGTCTTCCTGATTTTAAATTTACGGCAGACTCATGGTAGCAAATGTGAAAATGAGAACAATATGAAAGATCACCCACTCCCCTTGTCTCAGGAAATAGGGAGCTGATGTCCAATGATTCCTGCAGTCCACTCACAACTAAATCCTGGCTCCAAATAAAAACCAAACAGCCAGCAATGAGGAGTACCTTCTAGTCTCCCATGTGTTAACTGGTCTCAACAGAAATGGGCTTAGGTGGATTTTTATTAACCATTAATGGCCCAACCTGTTTTGTGCCAGTCTACCCCTAAATTTTGCTAGTCACTAGAGCTGATGCACCATGAAATGTCCCAAGGCATGTAATGAAGGATGGTGATGGGCAGCCTATTCAGACCTCCAGCTACCTGCCCATACCCAGCATGAGGCCGTCTCAGGACTCACCACGCCCTGCTCTGCAGATCCCTAATCACAGACGTTCACTATGCTCTTGTTTCTCTTCCTTGACACTGAGGCTGGTAAGACACCAAACCTAAACAAACGACAGCTGGGGCCAGCAGGGAAAAGGACGGAGGAGGCTCCACATGCAGATGAGCTGGAATCAGCCAGGGCTAGAATCTCCAGAAGCTCATGTGACCCATGTTAAGCTGAGCACAGGCAGGCACTGGTCCTCTCACACAGATGCTTCCCATGGTGGAGGGGTGCAGCGAGAAACTTCATGCTGCCTCTCTATAGCAACCCGGCCCTCGTGGGGGCTTGCCACCCCTGAGGCCGATCATAACCTATGCAGGGCCCTGCCATCAGCAGATGGATGCTAGGAGCTGTCTTTGCCACCTCCTTCACTGCATTTCTCTTGAAAAGATTAAATTGAAAATAAAGCACAGATTCAGTGACTCTTCACTGAAGAATGCACAGCATTTCAGGAGCCTGGCACAGTCAGTGCAAAACTGAGGATGTGCAGAGAGGCCGGAACTGTGACACGGGGAGTTGCCCAGGAGCTCTGTGTCTCAGCACAGCCGCCAGTTAGGTGGCCAAATTCACAGATGCAGAGGCCTCTCAGGCAGCCACCCCTACCCCAACACCTCCCTCATTCTAAGATTTCTCTCAAGTGGGCTGGCTGTTCACATCCAGGAACACATGCTGTTTGGCCATGGTTTCTATAGCCCATTTGGGACTAAAATTCTATTCGTTAAGGGATCCTCAAAAACAGAAGCCTTTCCATGTTCCTCTCACTGGATGTCCTGGCTCATACCCAGAGGCACCCATTCAGTACTTTCAAAATCATCTTCCCTCTTCCCCACCAGGGTAAAATCCCCTAGGTGGCAGTCACATTCCCATCCCAAACTGGCCACTCAAATGTTATAAAGATAAAAAGGGTTGGCCTTTAGCATGATGATCTATGAGAGGAAGGTCTGCAACAGAGACGCCAGCACTGTGGTGTGGTCCAGGGCACTGTGGGCCACTCCTGTGAGGCTGTGGGTACAACATAGCTGTGAGGATGGGGGAGCAGTGAAGGAGGTAATGAGGAGGGGGGACAATAAGAGGGAGAAAGTGGAGCTGGGAGGGAGAGGGATATGAGAAGGAGGGCCAACTGCAAGCACGGCTGCCTGTCGTCCTTTGCCTTTGCCCCCAGTACCCAGGGTAACCCTACTTTCTCCTTCAAGGCTGGGCTCCAGCAGCTGCACTCTCATGAAGCCCAGCACCTCCCCCCATGCTGGGAATCCTAGTTCTTTCCCTCAGGCC